AGTTCCAATTTTGAAGCCAAACATGGATCCCAATTGCGCTGACTCATATCGCCCGATATCTCTTTTATCCTGCGTCATGAAGACTTTTGAAAGATTGATCAAAAATCGCCTGGAATGGTGGTTTAGATCTCATCCACTTCCTAACAACCAATATGCCTTCAAGAAAGGAGTTGGAACAGCAGACGCTATTACGAATATTGTCACCGACATTCAGATGTGTTTCACGCGAAACAACTACTTAGCAGGCATCTTCATAGACATTACAGGTGCATATGACAACATCAATTTAAACATACTTCGAAACAAACTGGAAAAATTTGGCATCCCACCTCACTTTAGTTTTACTGTAACAAACCTATACCGTGATAGGAATATTTTTCTACGCAACGACAGTGGCGGAAAGATTGGACCACGACTAGTACAGGAAGGTATCCCACAGGGCGCAGTTTTAAGCCCAATTTTATTCAATATCTTTTCGGCAGACTTACATGATGTGCAAACCCCATGTCAGCTGGTGCAGTATGCAGACGATATTTGTGTATATATAGAGAACCGTCAACTTAATCAATGTATATCTACGCTAAATTCTTCAATGGAACACTACAAACAGTGGCTAATGAAACATGGTTTCGACATATCGTTGAAAAAATCATCCTTTTGCGTTTTCTCGCGACACAATGTATCATTACAGAGGAACATACTACTGGGAGGGTTATCCTTCAAAGTTGAAACCTCTGTCAAATATCTCGGCGTAATCCTTGACAAAAAGCTCACATGGAAGCCGTATATCGAACAAGTAGTCAGTAGATGTGAGAAAGCCTTCAATTTTTTCCAGATGATCTGCAAGGTATGGTGGGGCTCCGATCAAAAGATCGCAATATTATTCTTCAGATCATATGTTAGATCTATCCTTGATTATGGCAGCATATTCTATGGCTCTGCCAGTAAAAATCTCCTTCATGTGCTAGATATAACTCAGAATAAATTTCTCAGGAAATGTCTTGGAGCAATGCAATCGTCACCAGTCGGAGCTTTGCGAGCAGAAGCACAGGAGCCTCCTTTACATCTTCGAAGGCAAATGTTATCTAGCAGATTTCTACTTAAGGTACAACACGCGGACAGCCACTTACTGAGCAAAATTCATCGTCTAAACACCATGGACTTGACATGCAAATATTGGACCAAAAGAAACTCCCCGACTCTATGCAGTGCCATACAATATGCCAACACAATACAACCAACCTCTCATAGCCAATGATTGATCCAAGATATAAGCTACTTTCATTTACTATCAGGATTTGATGTTAGAGTACCAGCTTACAAGCAACAACCACACCACATTCAGAACCTACTTCGAGAAGTGCAGAGTAAATTAGCAGGTGATGCATTCATTTACACCGATGCATCGAAGTCGGCGTCAGGAACGGGATGCGCTCATTATATTCCTTCAATAGATATTTTTTCCATGTTTAAACTACCAAATGAGTTCACGATTTTTTCTGCAGAAGCTATTGCTATATTCCAAGCCCTACAGTTTGTAGAGGACCACAATCTTGGTAACACGTCTATATTCTCGGACTCCCTCTCTGTTGTCAATAGTTTAAAAAACGGCAGTCCTTTCGATATGCAAAATATACACTTATTCAACATAAGATGGAAAATAAGTCAGCTAAAACAACGAGGCCTCAGGATTACACTAGTTTGGGTGAAGGCCCACTCTGGGATAATACACAACGAAAAAGCTGACGATCTAGCAAAGATGAGTATAACATCTGGAACTAAGCTGGACATACCCTTAAGCGTGCAAGACAATCGAGTGATACTTAAAGGTAATTTGCTCAAGCGATGGCGCAGTGAATGGATAGAATACTGTTTTACTAATCCTACAAGATACAACCTCACACACCCTAGCCTGCCACGAGGATACTGGCACGAAAATTTCAAAATACCCAGAAAATATATTTCTTGCATCACCCGTGCGAAAATAGGACATGGTGTTTTTCCTTCACACCTTGCAAGATTAAATTTGGTCCCATCTGCACTGTGCGATGTTTGTGAAGTTTATGGTGACTTGGATCACTGTTTCTTTGGTTGCGCTAAATTCCTGGATCACTGCAATGCACTCTACTCCGATTTGGTGAAATCTGGCATATCTGCCCCCCTAAATACATCTCATGTATTTTCGCTAGGTAGATCTGATGTGATCATTCTCGTTGTTAAATTTATCAGAAATTCTGGCATCAAAATATAACAATCGTATTTTAGTTATCCTCTGTTTTTGTACCTTTATGTATAAATATATCCTTCATATCCGTGGCCTAATTGTTGTATGTGAAAAATGAAAAATGCCCTGACGGGTCCCTGGGCGAGAAGAACGTGTGTCCCTGTCTGACCCATCCTCTCTCCTACCCCTTAGAGTTGCATAGGTTTAATATGTAGTTATGGTGTTCTTTAGACACTAATGTCATCTGAAAATTTGTGTGTAATGCTTAACCCCCGCCCCCTCCTGATAACACTTTCTTAGTTCTTCTATATTTACTTTTTTGTTTTTCATCCAGAGTGGAGAGTGTGCATTAGAAGAAATTTAATAATCAATTTATCCCTACTGTTTGTTAAGTACTTGCTCCTTCGCCCAAATACGACTGTGTCACCAAAATGTCTTTCCTGCAATACCCTGATAGCTGAGGGGATCTGCTTGCTACGTCATTGCCATTTTACACGTCTTAAATTATATTGTGTATGATATAATAGATAAATACTTGATTCTGGCTAATGGGGCAATGTCCTAAAAAAAAAGAATTTATCTCGGGAGATTTTGGAACTTCGGGTGTTTTAAGCAGCTTCTTCACTCCACGAATGTCCGGCAGATCGTTCATGGGAGATTTTTGTACTTTAGGCGTTCGAAGCAGTTTCTTTACCCCACGAATGTCGGACAGATCGTTCTTGGGAGATTTTGGGAGTTTGGGTGTTTTGAGTAACTTCTTCACTCCACCAATGTTCGACAGATCGTTCTTGGGGGATTTTGGGACCTTGGGTGTTTTGAGTAACTTCTTCACTCCACCAATGTTCGACAGATCATTCTTGGGAGACTTTTGTACTCTAGGAGTTTGAAGCAGTTTCTTTACTCCACGAACGTCCGACAAATCGTTCTCGGGAGATTTTGAAACTTTGGGTGTTTTAAGAAAAATTGTACGATGGATGTCTTTTAAGTTTTGCATATGGAAATAAAACAACACGGTAGGTAGTTTTAAATGACTTTATTGTTTTTTGAAGTATTCTCCACGAAGATTAATACACAAATGCATGCGCTCGAACCAATTATTCCACTCGTTTGCTGGCAGATCCAAAACGGCATGTTTGAATGCGTCAACTGCTTCTTCTGGAGACTGGAAACCTTGACCACTCAGTCTGTTTTTAATTTTCAGGAAAGTAAAGAAATCCTTAGGACTTAGATCGGGACTATATGGAGAATGGTCCAATAATTCCACGTTTTCTTCCGTTAAATACTGCCTTGTTTTTTGGGCTGTGTGCGAGCTTGCATTGTGCATTGTGCATCCACGATTCATCACCACTAACAATGCTGTACACATTTTTTGAGTTTGCGGAATTGAAACGGTCAAGCGTTTTTTGATACCAATTAACCCTGGCTGCTTTCTGCTCTTCAGTCAACAGGTGGGGTATCCAACGAGAAACTAATTCTCCTACTCCTAATTCTTCATGTAACATTTTTTGAATTGAGGTCTTTGAGATCTTCAAGGACGCCTTAATCGTCCGACATGTCATATGTCTATCTTCAATGATGAGTTTGCGCACAGCATCGACGTTTTCCTGGGTGACCTTTGGTGCACCCACACTGGGATCGTCGCTAAGACTCGCCCGTCCACGTTTGAATTCTCCATAGCAACGGGAAATTGTCGACTGATGTGGCGCTTCGTTGCCGAAAACAGACAGTAGCTCAGCAAGGCATTCTTGTTGCGATAAATGTCTCTGAAAATTGTAATAAATTATGGCGCGAAAATGTTCTCGGTTGAGTTCCATTTTTCTAATGACTTGGTGACACTTGAAAATTCACTGTAGTGAGAATGCTGCACGTATTGTTGTGAAACTTTGAACTTAAGTTTACTAAAGAGTGAGGTTAAGATTCAGTACTGACATTCGATCCGCGCGGCCTACTATGTTTCTATATGCAAAACTTAAAAGACATCCCTTGTATTTTACATTTTCTTTGACTGTCATGTGAAAATAGTCATGCTGGTCAAGCCACAGACAAGCTGCATTTTATGTAATTGGTCAATAGCTTCATTATCACAAAAGATAACCCAAAAATGTTATTCACATAAGTGATAGCTCCTTATCTGGGAAATATGCCGATCTCTACAAAGAATTGCAGTGCATCACATTTTTAAATGTCCTGGATATTTTAATATATTTTGTATAGATATACAAATTTGAAACGTTTTGTTTGTTACACTACCTTAAAAAGTGTCTGAGTTACAAGTTGTCAAAGTTAGTTGTTTTTTGCATAAAATATCGTGTAGCTCCAGAAGCAGCGATCCAAGCGCTAAACTTTTTGTAGAATATACTATAAAAAAGTAGCATTCCATTTAAAAAAGTAATAAATCACCCTGTATATAATAACTGATTAATTATTTTTGAAAATAATGGAGTTATTGAGCTATTACACACGGAAAACCCATCCTGTATATATTTTACCCAAAGTATGATTTTATCCAATGAATATTGTGAATTCGCTAATGTACCTTAAATAGACGGAAGCCATAGAATCATGGACTAGAATCTGTAAATATAGATAAGGATATATGTTATGCAGTGGTTGTGTTCAATAAAGAATGATTAAAAGCTTTTAATATTACCATTTACCTCGATTAGAGTTGAACGTTTATGATGATTTGTTTTACTGTCTTGTCAACTCACCGTGTAATTCTTGAAGTCACATTAAAAGGTGGAATGGAATTTAAGATCATGTTTGTACAAACACTAAAGGAATTCGTTATTAAAACATTGCATTTATAAAAAATAAACTATACGAATAAAAACGCAAGACATATTTACATTAAAACAAATAAAAATAATGTCAGATCTTATTTCTATTTCTTGCGTCGTCGTTTTGCGGTTAAAGGACTTTCCGATACAAACTCCTCTCCGTATTTCTCGTAATCGCCTTTTGCCCTTCTTGATCTTTTCGGTTCTTCTTCTGCAAATTAAGTTAAATTTAAAAATACAAAATTAAGCTATTCAATGGCTGTTCGTTGGTTACGCATCAATAAGATAAAAAGAGCGCAAGAATTGGGTAATTGACAAGCCGTATTTTTGGATGTTTTTTTGAATGAATATCAATAAGTCGAAAACTGTTCGAAAAAGTGGCATAAACCTTATATAAAAAAAATCTCAAGGAAGGCGATTTAATGATGTACAAATATACATTTGAAATTTATAAGAAAAGGCACATTTTACGTTTTGAGATGCCCTGAGGAAAAAGAAAGATATTTTAGCATTTCTTTCAGATCAGCTTAAAATCGATGATAAAATTTTTGTGAGCTAAAATTTAAATTTGGGATTTTTTTCAGACATTTCACTAAATATTTAAACAATTATTAATCGAAATATGCAATAAAAGATAGTGTATTCTATTTAGGCAATACATGCTATGGAACACCCCGTATAAATTAAATTGATTTTAAAATATGCACTGGTAACATATCCATGTTATAAAGAAAACAGATTTTTGAAATCTTTTCCAGTTTGCTCGTAAACCGCTTTCCATTTTTGTTGGGACACCCTGTAGATCTGGGCAGTATGATCCAAAATGTTCATGTTTACAAGCTCCATATATTTCATGTCAACAGAATATTGGAGATAGTAATATAACCAACTATGGTTATCCCATCTAAAAATTAAAATGAATCACAAACTTGGAACTTCCCAAGATATTTGACCATTCGTAGATTTTGGAATAACCTTAATCAAATTCAAGCGAATAACCAAATGGAAATGGTATTTACCATTTTGGGTTGGTATTTACCGATCCGTTCAAGCGAGTGTAGTTATCAGTTTGGTTATAAGATCCGTGACGTCACGAATCAGCTGTTATATGTCATAGTTATCACCGCAAAATTGTGGTATTTACCCAACTCAAGAGTAGTTTTATATTTCTGGTTATTATTTGAAGTGTGACAAGTTAGAATTTTGCCGGGTATTGGATATTGTTATTGTACTTCAGCTTCATTTTTGGGAAGCTTGATACAGGCTGACTTCAGTTTTACCATAAAGTGGAGCACCTTTTTAGTTATACTCATCACTGTTATTGGGGACACTTTAAATGTAGTTCCTATGCTTAACAAAGTACCTATCCTGTGTAGCCATATACCACAAGAATATTAAAATATGGCCATATAAACTCACTAGATGATGTCCACCTGTATTCAGTTTTGCTAATATCTTTTTTCATCATTTCTGCTGAATCAATAAATATTTTCTTTGACATGCGGAAAACTTTAGAGAATTGAAAGTTATCATAGCTACAAAGCCATGGTTCCATCATTAAAAAAAATCTGAAAAAGAAAACATTTCTCCCATGAATATTATGAAAGGTTTCTTGTTTAAACTTTCCATACACAGTTGTAGACGAAAAAGCACCGATTATTAAGTGATAATAAAAATAATCGGAGATTATATACGCGCTTTTTTAAAATAAACAACTTGCAACAAAACCGTGGTTAAAACCGACGCGTTCAAGCGATTCGTGTAACTGACGTCATCAACCCGTGAACCATATTATAACCGCGGCACATAACACAGACATTTTGGTTATTCGCTTGGTTTGATTCTTGTATATTTAACTATTTTGATATGATTCTAGAATTTACCTTCAATCTCCTTTACTTTCTTATTTTTTAATCGCCGGTGCTGAACAGGCGTAGTAGCTTCATTTGATTCAGCTACCTCCATGAACAGATGTCTCCTAAAATAGGTAGGATCTTTCTCTTCTTCAACATCTTCCTCATTGAGTGTAGCCTTTTCTGTCTACCTTTAGTAACTTTCACAGATTCAACAGTTTGATCTTTTTTCGGTCTTCTGCTTGTGGTTTCGTCGTTAAGGCTAGGGTTAACAACTTTTTTTTTACCTCTTGTAATTCTCATAGGTTTATCTTCAGAGTCATTTTTCTCGATCTTCTTTTCTTTGTTATCTCCTGATCTGCTGGCAGTTTCATATTCGGTCCTTTTGTTAATGTTCTTAATACTTTCTCCATTTTCAGCCTTCTCATTTCGCTTGGATCTGCTGATTGGTTTCACTGATTCATCTACATTCGTTTTGCTCGCGCCTGAAGTAACACTTTTTTCAATTTTGGTTTTCAAGTTTCTTCTTGGCCTGCTAGCTGTCTTCACTACTTTGTTTTGAATGTCTCTCTCACTGTCTTCCTCGACGCTTTCTTCAACTGTTTTATTATTCCGCCTGCCAGCTGGTTTTACTGCATTGCATTCAATGTCTTTGCTAGTGTCTTTTTCGACAGTTTCTTCAATATCGGTTTTCTTATTCCGCCTTAGCCTGCCAGCTGGTTTCACAGCTTTGTCTTGAACATTTTTGTCACTGTCTTTTTCGTCAGTTTCTTCAAGTTCGGTTTTCTTATTCCGCCTTAGCCTGCCAGCTGGTTTCACAGCTTTGTCGTGAATGTTTTTGTCACTGTCTTTTTCGACAGTTTCTTCAAGTTCGGTTTTCTTATTTCGTCTTGGCCTGCCAACTGGTTTCGCGGCAACTTCTTGAACGTCTTTGGTCGTGTCTTTTTCGACAGTTACTTCAACTTCAGTTTTCTCATTTCGTCTAGTCTTTATTGCTTTATCTTTTTCGACAGTTTCTTCAAGTTCGGTTTTCTTATTTCGTCTTGGCCTGCCAACTGGTTTCGCGGTAACTTCTTGAACGTCTTTGGTCGCGTCTTTTTCGACAGTTACTTCAACTTCAGCTTTCTCATTTCGTCTAGTCTTTATTGCTTTATCTTCAATATTGTTGCTAATACTTTCGACTTCTACTTTGGCTGGTTCTGCAACTTTCCTCTTCTTACCTCGTGTTTTCTGTTCAGGTTCTTGTAGAATATCGGCTGAACAAGCATTTTCATTGGTTTTGTTCTGTCCTCTCTTAGGTCTTGTCTTCTGAAGACTAACATCAACAGTTTCCCCAACCTTCTCAGGGTTGTTTTTCTGAGTTTTTGGAGTTTTTCTAACTTCATTGAGGGTTTCCGAATCCTCGACATTAAAGTCCTGTTGATTCACCCATTGCTCAACCTTTTCATTTTTGTCAGAAACATCCACGTCATCTTGATCTCCCAATTGCTCTTCAGTTCTGGATGTAGACAGTCTGGCGCTGTACTTTCTTACCGGTTTCTTGTTGAACAGAGAATCAAATAGTTCTTCTTGTTTTTCAATGAACAGGTCTTTAACCCCAGACACATTAGATAAATCGTTAATATGTTCTTTTAGCGGTTTTGGAGTAGACATTAACATTTTCAACGGGACGATGTTGCTAAGATCATTCTTGGGAGATTTTCGTACTTTGGGCGTTCGAAGCAGTTTCTTTACCCCACGAATGTCGGTCAGATCGTTTTTGGGGGATTTTGGGACTTTGGGTGTTTTGAGTAAGTTCTTCACTCCACCAATGTTCGACAGATCGTTCTTGGGAGATTTTTGTACTTTAGGAGTTTGAAGCAGTTTCTTTACTCCACGAACGTCCGACAAATCGTTCTCGGGAGATTTTGGAACTTCGGGTGTTTTCAGTAGCTTCTTCACTCCACGAATGTCCGACAGATCGTTCTTGGGAGATTTTGGGAGTTTGGGTGTTTTGAGTAACTTCCTCACTCCACCAATGTTCGACAGATCGTTCTTGGGAGATTTTTGTACTTTAGGAGTTTGAAGCAGTTTCTTTACTCCACGAACGTCCGACAAATCGTTCTCGGGAGATTTTGAAACTTTGGGTGTTTTAAGTAGGTTCTTCACTCCACGAATGTTCGACAGATCGTTTTGGGGAGATTTTTGTACTCTAGGAGTTCGAAGCAGTTTCTTTACTCCACGAAAGTCCGACAGATCGTTCTCGGGAGATTTTTGTACTTGAGGAGTTTGAAGCAGTTTCTTTACTCCACGAATGTCCGGCAGATTTTTCTCGGGAGATTTTGGAGTTTTGAGCAATCTCTTCACTTCACGAACGCCTGTTAAGTCATTGTTTGGAGATTTTAGAGCTTTAGGCGTGTTAGAATCTCTGGTTGAAACGGAAGATGCTTTGGACAATGGGATATTCAGGACTTCTTCAATGAACCTACTACATTGTCTTGTCGATTTTGAAGTGAGATTCATTTCATCAAACTCTTCTGTTTTGGGTGTACTCGTTAGCTTTTCAAGTTCACCTTTTTCTGGATCGAGTTCCAATGCGACGTCCTCGTCTGAAACAGATGTAAATACAGGAGAAGCCGTTTGAGATACAGATATATGTTTCTTTGAATCACTGGGTGTCCTTGATACACTTGTTTCAAGTTTGGATGTAGAAAACGAAGCTTTTGAAGCACGCGTACTCCTTATGCCATCTTCAAGATCCTGTATGCTTGAATCTGCCATTGATCTTCTCGAACCTGAAACAAGCTTTTCATCATTTCCACTGCCTGTTTTTAATACTCTTATTAAGCTCATCTGAAGTTGGTTGATGTCAGGCGATGACTTCCTCGATTGAACGGTTTCCCAAGCACCAGATTCACAAAGAGGTGTTATGACACCAGCAGTTGGTGTTTTTGTCAGCCTCCTTGAAAATGACATGGAAACTCTTGGATCATTTATATTTATCAAACTAGTCTCAGATGCAGACTTTTGGCTTAGTGAACTTGTTCTTGTTCTAGTATGATTGGGAATCTCATAATCTGCTACCACACTTGATCTTCTTGCATTACGTGGGAAGGAATCACTATTTTTCAGAGATTTTCTGGAAGCACTTTGTTTTCTAGACAATGATTCTGTTACATCTGCTTCAACAGTGCCTTCATCATATCGGAAAGCACTCGGTGCTTCCAATAAGTTGTCCCCTAGATCACAGATTTTAATTACATCAGGGCTCTGATCACTACTTGATGTTTTGAGACTTATGAGAGACCCACTGACTCCTGACAGATCAATACTAATAAAATCAGCTGGATACTGACATGCGCTTGACCGTCTCGTGGATCTTCTATTGATTTCTAAATCGTCACCGCCTGCTCGAGTATTCGATTTTGAGCTTCTCAATGACCAACTTCTCTTTTTAATCTCAATGTCAGGCGAATCCAATTCTTGAGAAGTTGACGAAGATTTTCTGGTTTTGCTGACTTCTTGAAGGTCATCGTCGTACTGATCAATGACTGATTTATCTTTTTCTACATCGAATGTTTCAGCGGAGTTCCGATGTTTAGATGTTGACAGTGACCGTTTGGAAGTATTAGCTGTAGATCTTGTGGCAGCTGCGTTCAAGTCTGGGAGGCTTGCATACGTCTTTAGAGTCTCCACTGCATTCTTCACTTGGAGAGAGTTGATTCCTCTAGGTGATAAAATGGAGTTCTTGGGTCCATTGCCATTTAGGAACACATTTTTTAGTGTTCTTTTTCCGCTAGTATTTAACAAGCCCTTACGTGATTGATCTACTCGAACCGTTTTCGATAGATCTAGTAATTCATATTCAGACGAATCAAAGCGGCTTGATGCTCGAGACAATCTTTTGGTCTTATCGGCGTCTACAGTTTCTTTTGGAATTGAGCTTGCTAAAACCTTATTAGTTCTTGTAGAATCATTTTGAGCATTTTCCGTCACAGATGTCTTGGATGCACGTGTTTGTAATTCACTGCTAGGCGTTTTTACTGCGCTTAGATCAAGAATTTCATATTCAAGTTTTTTCATTGATTTCGGCGTAGACATCGATCTCTTCATAGCATCTAGCGGAGTCCTGGTAAAATTCGTAGATAGTCTGGGAGACTTTATAGCCTTGGCATTTTCAGTCAATTTTAGAGTTCTACTCGATCTAGAAGAATCAGTTACTATTGTTTCATCCATAGAATCCTGGATTGTGTCATTCTTCGGTGACTTGTTTTGAGCCGACATAAAATTTTTTATTCCGAATATATAAGAAAGACTTGTGCGCCTACGCATCAGCTGTTTCAATCCGACAAATTTGGAAAGATTTTCAGAAACATTCAGTTTTGGAGATCCTTTGACCGTTTTGGGAGATTGTTGCAATCTTTTTAATTTTGCCGAGGCTGGTGAGCCGATCAGTAATGATTTGTTCCTTATGAAGTGACTTGAGGCCGAGGTAGTGGACTTGACGAAATTGCTAGTCGAAGGTTTGGGAGATTTGTCTAACAGATCTTCTCGAAGTCCGTTCTCCAAGAGGAAACTACATTTGACGATTGGTTCCGGACCATCGAGATTGTCCACAGCGATAGTTTTATTGTGCCTGGATAGTCGTACAGACTTCATTTGCCTTACTCTCGGTTCAGACAAGACCTTTGAGAATGGTTGATTCGCAAAAGAAGCAATTGTCAGATCAGAAAGCCTATGCTCATGGTCTGTTTGGTCTTGAGATATTTCAGGCCAATCTTCAGTTGAGTTGAAAGACTCGACACTTTCTTCTACTATCTGAAAGAAGAATATAGTCATCTGGTCATTAGGATTTTGTTTTAAATGTATGACGTCCTTTAAACGTCAGCCTAGATTTCTGATTCTATTTAGTAAAGAGAAACTCAAATGATTACCTCAACCTCAGAAGCGTCTTCAACTGAGTACGTTATCGTCCTCCTTTTCTTCACAGAGCTTTGAGAAGCTATGCTAGAATTCCTGCCCCTTTTATTGTTGATATTCTGCTCGCTTTCTTCAACAGCAGGCTCTTCTTTCTTGCCGGATCTCCTCGTTCTAGACTGTAGAACGCTCTTCCTAAGATCTTCGAATAGGCCAGGAGTATTGAGAGGCGTTTTGATCGCGTCATCACCCTTCGAATTCGGGGGTGTCGCGGGAGACACATCTTCCACGACTGGTGCGTAGACTTGTCTTGGGCTGCAAAAAAAATATTGGGGACTGTTTATACAGAGAGCATCTAGTGCAAACTGATCGGCAGGGTTATTACGTGAAAAACCTATGTAATGTCAAGAAAAAAATAAATTAAATAACCTGTTGACAGTGTACAAACAGTTCATTTCGCGCCTGCTACAAGTGAGAATGAAGTGAACAACAGCTAGATCCTGGTTGACATTTTGCAGGAAAACCTACATGATGTCACTTTTTTAATTACGTAATACCCTTGTCAGCACATGTATTTAGATACAGTTCTTTCCATGGTTTTTGGCGGTTACATCATCAATGCCATACTAAAAGTAAGCAAACCGGCTAACCGAACCATATGAGGAGCTTAAGCTCCATAGAGGTATTGCGTACTGGGTAAACTGATCTTAAACGCAGCTGCTCTGGCACATATGAATTAACTAAAAAAGGACCCTTGCTATCATTGACTTTCTCAAAATATTACAATAATTTTGGAAAAAACTATTGATATTGTCCGTTAGCTGTATTTTCAGGTATTACAATGGTTAATAACAGATAAACTCAAAATGGTAGACCCATGTCAAGTGGGTTGTCACACCGACAGTGACAAGAATAGATTAGGAGTACTCATACGTTGACGGTACAATTTTAGAAGTGGCTAGACGAAGCTAAACGTTTAGTAATGGACAAAAGTATATAGACAAATATGAATATTTAGCTAAATACCTTTAGAAAACGAATTCATACCTCATTGCTCCATAAACAAATCCGCTATTAGTAGAAAAACTAAATTCCTTGTTTTTACATTATCTGCAATGAACACAATACAAGTCTGAATATAAGCACTTTTTTATGAGGGACAAAGATATGTAGACAAATTCTTTTCAACATTACTTTAGTGCAATCTCGTGTCAGAAGAGGATTAGTTTGTGTTTATCAAGTATTGTGGAATAAGTTGAGTGATTTAAATACCATGCCGCATGGTCCAGAAATATCTTCAGATGTGAAAACTATACGATCATTGAGTTATACAAAGATGGTCGACGTCAAGTCGACATTGTCAACAATTTGAAGCTGAAGCGTAAAGCAGTTTGGGCAATATTGAACGAATATAAACAAAAAGGTATCTTGGAAGCCTCTAAGAGAAGTGGTCGGCCTAGAAAACTAAATGCTCGATCAGTTAGATTAAAAGTAATTTCGTCCAAAGATCCGTTTAAAACCCCAAGACAAATAAAATCCGAAATCGAGACAAAAGGACTTCTCAGTGTTTCTACGAAAGTAGAAGATTAAATGATTTGAAGTTATTTGCACGTCGCCCGAGTAAGAAGCCGCTAATCTTGAGGAAAAACCGTAAGGACCGATTACAATTTGCACGGTTGCATCTTAATTGGAGCATCTGTGACTGGAAGAGGGTATGTTTCAGTGACGAATCCAAGTCCAATATGTTTGGATCAGATGGTGTCCATTACGTTAGACGTCCTAGTGGACAAAGATTGAACCCCAAGTACACTTTGCCTACTGTCAAACATGGAGGCGGGTCTGTTAAGGTTTGGGGGTGCTTTTCGGGGTTTGGGATGGGACCTTTACATAGAATAGATGGCATTATGGATAAGTTTGTATACACAGACATGCTAAAGCATGTCATGTTGCCCTAGATAGAAGACAATATGCCCTTAACATCAATCTTCCAGCAAGATAATGACCCGAAGCACACTTCAAATCAAGCAAAGAAATTCTGTCTTTCTACTTAGATAAGGAAAAATACGAGATAAAAATTATTAAAACAAGGATGAACTTTTTGCCGCTTTAGAGCAAAAGTGGAGACAGATTGATGAATCTTATATCAAGAAACTTCTACAATCTATGCCGAGACGATGCCAGGCTGTGATTGATAATAATGGTTATGCCACAAAATATTAACACAAACATGATTGGTTTTCTATAATTCAATAACTTTGCTTCTTTCTTCTATAATTGTTTCGTTTTGTCTATATATACTAAGTGACATATAAATCCGAACACCCAGTTTAAATGGTTTTATTTTAATAAAAGTTGGTGAATGTATTTATCTTACTGTAAATAACAAGTGAAAAAATTTTCAGCCTTATCAGTTGGACATTCCGGTTTTTATACTGCTTTTTTTTAATTCACTAACGCTGGGAAGCTGGACTTTCTTTTCGGGCAATTGCAGTTAGAGTGCAAAGAAGTGTAGACACTGTGGTTAGGTGTTGTCAGGCATGGCTTCGAGAAGGCCGTACGCAAAGAGCAAGGGGCACTGGACGCCGCCGTAGAACAACAGACCGTGAAGATCGCCGCCTAAGATTATTGGCCTTAAGGGACGGTTTCTCCACTACCACCTGGATGGACCTCCATTGCAAATGAATGGTTTGCAGAACACGGAAGACCTATTGGCATGCGAAGTGTTTACCGACGAATGAGAAGTTTTGGCTTGTTTTCATACCGGCCACACTGGGTCCTTCCTTTAACTCTAGAACACCGACGTAATCGCCTTGAGTGGTGCAGACAACGGTCACTCTGGGATCAGGAATGGGACAGTATTGTCTTTAGTGACGAGTCTCGATTTTGTTTAGGCATGCACGATGGTCGTGCCAGGGTTAGAAGGCGACGTGGTGAAAGGAGGAATCCACAGTTTTTTGTTGAAAGACATGTTCATCACACTGTTGGAGTTATGGTTTGGGGTGCTATAGCTTATGGTTCCAGGTCACATTTAATCTTCATCAGAGGTAACATGAACGCGCAGCGTTATATCCACGAAGTTCTAGAACCCCATCTTTTACCCTATCTTGACACCCTGGCAGATCCAACTTTCCAACAAGATAATGCCCGACCACATGTTGCAAGAGTCACAATAGACTTCTTTCAACATAATGATGTCACATTGTTACCATGGCCACCAAGATCTCCCGACTTATCCCCAATTGAGCACGTGTGGGATATGATGGGTAGGAGATTGCTCAATTTGCAACGTCCTCCTCAGACTCTGGAAGCACTTCGAGAGGAGTTGGTGGTTCCCTGGAATGAGATACCACAGGAGGACATTGACTACCTGATCAGAAGCATGCCTAGGCGTGTTGGAGAATGCGTAGCACATCAGGGTGCATCCACACATTATCAAAGGTCAAAAGGCTTTAAAGCAGTGCAATCATTTTGAAATTTTTATCGTTTACTTATTATGCTTGATTAAGTACTTATACAAAATTTTATTAAAATAAAACCATTTAAACTGGGTGTTCGGATTTATATGTCACTTAGTATATTTTTGTCCTTCATAGTTCTAGTTTTTTTCCATTCATTTTTTATTGAAGGGAGTCTAATGAATTTATTTATGTATAAGTGAGTATTATGCTATAATGAATTATGTATACAGGTTGGTGTATTAATATAATAAGTTAAAACAGAAATACAGCACAATATTAATTTGTCTATATACTTTTGTCTATTACTGTAGATGTATCGAAGCGATGCCGGTAGTTCTAGTGTGACCCACCAAAAACCGTGAAACGTCGTTTCCGCCAAAGCGACAGTTGCTAACATCATTTCATACATTTTTTGCAGTGTATCAGTTGGACCTTCCAGAAGCGTTACAATTGATACCGAACCGATCTTTCACTGCACACTGCACGTTGTTATGTATTGGAACCTGTTAAAATACTACTTATGTTTATTTATCTCTTTAGATTTAATTTGTGAAATGAGCTACATTAACCATAAGAAAACAATTACTTTCAATTCTTTTGGCAAAAACTATCGCTATTGTCGGTTAGTTTTATTTTTAGGGACTATGTTTTATTACTAAACCGATATTGTCGGTTAGTTTTATTCCGAGGTACTTTGTTTTATATTAGGAAGATCAATAAAAGATAAACTTAAAATGGTACACCAATGTCAAGTGAGTTGTTCCATAAGTGCTTTAAAAAAGCAGAATTCCTATTTATATTCCGCCTTCTTATTACTAACTATACAGGGTTATCCAAATTAAGTGTGCACCATTAGTAACTTTGTTATTAGTGAAAATACAAAGTTGTTTGAATTAGCAAACTAGTAGCATTTTTAACGCTGGTAAAAATGAGAAATAAAAAAAACAATTGAGAGTCGTTATTTTGATTTTTTTCAGTAAAATAACATTTTTTTAAATGGAAACCCCTGTATATTATATTTTTTTCTGTTAAAGCATCAAATTTTAAACAAAAAAGCTTACAATAACTTTTCTCCTAGGTTACAAATTGTTGAAGTTATGGCCTCCAATCTGAAACAATTAAATTGTATCGACAAACTTTATTTTCAACATCAACTTATAATCTTACAAAATACAATAACAATTTTTTTTAAAGAAGATGCTCGAAAACACCACCTTGTTCTTCAATACATTTTTGGGCACGTTTTTCAACTGCTCGAACTGTCTTAAGTATGGTCCTACCATCTATCTGGGTTATCTTTTCCCTAACTGCAGTCTTTAACGCGTCAAGGTTATCGTCCCTTCGCTTGTAAATTTGGTTCTTTAAGTAACCCCACAAGAAGTAATCAAGTGGGTTTAGATCTGGTGATCTGGGAGGCCACTGTATTGGGCCATTTGTTCCTTTCCACTGATCATTAAAAGTAGTACTTAGAAAATGATAAGTACCTCTGGAGTTGTGGGCAGGTGCGCCATCTTGCTGAAAATGCAGATGATGTCTACTTATAAGATCCAATTCGTCTAAGAAATTAGTCAGAATTTCTGACATAAATTCCACATATCTTTCACCAGTTAGGGTTCCCTCATAAAAGAACGGGCCAACAATTTTTGAACCAATTATACCGCACCAAACGTTGAAACTGAAACGGACTTGTGGGCCTCTTGGATGTACTAACAAAAGATTTTCTCTTGACCAATAATGGTGGTTTTTTCTACTAAACATTCCAGAATTTGAAAAATTTGATTCATCTGTCCATAAAAGGTAACGAAAGTTATTTACATTTTGGCGACAGAAGCTAAGATACCAATGGCAAAAAACAAG